AAGCTGGCACTGGAAGTGTGGTTCAAGTGGTGGCATGCTAGACTTTAGCAAAAAGCTCAAGGTCAAGTAAGTGCCTAGGCCCTGAGTTCAAGCCATAGAGCCAGCAAAATAAAACCGGAAAAACTGAAACCATTAAACAGATAATATACATTGTCATAGATGTGGATTAGTGGACAGGTAAAATGGTATAGCTGCTTTGGAAAAAAGTCTATCAGTACCCTAAAAGGCTAAACATATAATTATTTATTTTTGGCCAGTGCTGGGGCTTGAACTCAGGGCCTGGGCACTGTCCCTGAGCTTCTTTTGCTCAAGTCTAGTGTTCTACCACTCGAGCCACAGCAACACTTCGGGCCTTTTCTGTGTATGTGATACTGAGGAATTGAACCCAGGGCTTCATGCCTGCTAGGCAAGCACTCTACCACTAAGCTACACTCCCAATCCTAACAGAATTCTTACATGACCTGCATGCTACTCCAAGATGTAGAAAATAAATTAATTATAAGTTGATACCCCCAAAAACCCCATCAAACTTGTACAAAATGTTAATAGCAGCACTATTCACAATAGCCAAAAAAGCAGAAATACATTAAATGTCCATCAGCTGATGAATGCATAAATAGAAGATGTATATCTATTCAACAAAACATTATTCAGTAATTAAAATGCTGACACAGCAGGGCACTGGTGGCTTATGCCTGTAATCCTAGCTACTCAGGAAAGCTGAGATCTGAGGATGGGAGTTCAAAGCTAGCCTGGGGAGGAAAGTCCATGAAACTTTTATCTCCAATAAACTACTCAAAAAAAAAAAAAAAAAAGCCAGAAGTGGTGCTGTGGCTCAAGTGGTAGAGTGTTTCCCTCCAGTGAAAGAAGCTCAGGGACAGTTCCCAGGGCCAGAGTTCAAGCCCCAAGATCTGCCCCCCCCAAAAAAAAAGTGCTGATACATGTTATCATGCAGATGAACTTGAAAACAAAAGGCAATCACTAAGGACCACATTTTATATTATCACAATATCATTACACATAAATATGTAAAGATTGAAAATAGATTGGTTTCTTTGACTGGCAAGGTAGAAGAGTAGATTTGGATGGGAAAGGATAGAGGTAATATCTAAAGAATGCAGGAAGGGGCTGGGAAGGGGGCTCAGTGGTAGAGCTCTTGCCTTGCATGCCTGAGGCCCTGGGTTCAATTCCTCAGCACCACATAAGCAAAAAGAAAAAAGCCGGAAGTGGTGCTGTGGCTCAAGTGGTAGAGCACTAGCCTTGAGCTGAAGAGCTGAGGGACAGTGCCCAGGCCCAGAGTTCAGGCCCCACAACCGGATCCAAAAAAAATAAATAAAAATAAAAAAATAAAGAGCCGGGTGCTGGTGGCTCACGCCTGTAATCCTAGCTACTCAGGAGGCTGAGATCTGAGGATCACGGTTCAAAGCCAGCCCGGGCAGGAGAGACCATGAGACTCCTATCTCCAATAAACCACCAGAAAACCGGAATTGGCGCTGTAGCTCAAGTGGTAGAGCGCTCGCCTTGAGCTGAAGAGCTGAGGGACAGCGCCCAGGCCCAGAGTTCAAGCCCCACGACCGACAAAAAATAAAGAAAGAAAGAAAGAAAGAATGCAGGAAGTATTTCTTTTTAGAGTGGTAAAATGTTCTAAAGTTAACTGTGCTAATGATTACATAATTCTGTCAATATATGAAAAAATTACACTTTCAAATACGTAAATTGTTTAGCATATAAATTGCTTCACGTCTCTCTTTCTGTGGATATATGTCTGTCTGTCCGTCCATCCGTCCGTCTGTCTCTCCATCCGTCCGTCTATCCGTCTGTCTCTCCGTCCATCCGTCCGTCTGTCTGTCTGTCTGTCTGTACCAGTAGTACTAGGGCTAAAACTCAGGGCCTGGGCACTGTCCCTTAATTTTCAACAAAGGCCAGTGCTTTGCCACCTGAGCCACAGCTCTACTTTAGTTTTTTGCTGGTTAACTAGAGATAAGAGTCTCACGGACCTTTCCTACCCCATCTAACTTCAAACCACAATCCCTTGATCTCAGGCTCCAGAGTAGCTAGGATTACAGGTGTGAAGCTACCAGTGCCCAGCTCTAAATATTTCTATACAAGTAAGAACCATAATCATGCACAGGATCTCTGAGGTAGTGCTTGACGTGCTAGCATTTCATTTTTCTTTTCAGACTATTAGGCTGGAGCCCAAATTCACTGGAGTCAAATTGAGAAGGGGTAAACTGGACTTGAATATTCAGGAACCAATTCCAGGTGTTTAGCCAGAGATTTTTTTTTTTTATTGTAAAGATACTATACAGAGGGTTACAGTTATGGCCAGAGATTATTAAGACAAACAGATATATTAACTGGGCGATATATGGTACACCACATTGAAATCTGTTCTAAACAGAAAAGTAGTAATTTTTCCTATGAGAAGAAGGCAAGAAGAAAATTAAATCAGAAATGTTCACATGACCTAAGGAAATTTTCTTTTACTCTTTTGTGAAAGTTCTACTTTAAGTGCTCATGTAAAACAAGATGTACAATCTTAGAATTCCCATCTTGGTATCTATTATTTTCTTACTTCTGAGATGACTTTAATTTCTAAGTCTCTTCAGGGATACACATCTGCCTAATTCTACTGAGGTATGCCCAAAGCTCTCTAATCTTAGTTATGACTATGGTCAAGCCCTTTTGAAGAAACAAATGTGTCTTGAGGAGTAAATGAATATATATACACATATATACTATTTTATCAGCATAAAATAAGAGTAAATGAATATATATACTCTTTATTAGAATTTATTTGTTGTCTAAGGAATTGTTTCATTGTGATATTTCCACAAAAGTGTACATATATATATAGCACATATACATAAATACATACATATCCAGGTGACCTCTCACACGTCGTGAAAGTTATGTTCCAGAGATCCCCATGATAGATGAAAATCTGCAAAGTAGCAGTGTTAGTTGTCCCTCACTATATAATTGTTCACTTATTGCTACTTTGTGGATTTTCACTTATCACAGGGGCCTCTGGAACATAATTCCTGCAATAGGTGAGGGATCACTATTTATGTATTCTGCAATAAGTGACGCAGCAAGGGATAATTGTGTGTATGTATATATACATATATATGTGTGTATGTATATGTGTATATATATGTATATGTATGTGTGTGTATGTATATGTGTATATATATGTATATGTATGTGTGTGTTCATATATATACATATATGGGCTACATGCCTGGGCACTGTCCCTGAGTTTCTTTTTTGCTCAAGGCTATATCACTCTACTACTTGAGCCACAGCACCACTTCCAGCTTTTTCGGTTTATGTGGTACTGAGGAATTAAAACCAGGACCTCATGCATGCTAGGCAAGCAATCTATCACTAAGCCACTTTCCCAACCCTAAAATAGAAAAAAAAAAAAAAAGAAAGAGATTCCAAGAGTTTCAAGGTGAACCTTGTTGATTACAGTTTACTGGATTCTGAGATGTTTGAAAAGAATTTGTTTTCCTCCCATGTATGTTTGAAGAATGAAACTGAATTTCATTGTGTCAAAACCATCTTACGTTAACCTGGAAGAGCAATAATCAGTATGGTCAGTCAGAGAGAGAAAATGGCTCTGTTCCATGCTCCAAGCAAAAGCGGCTTTTTTGTCTCCAGGAAATTCCACTGAGAGTCTCTCAGCATCATGAAATAGATTTCTTGAGTTAGGACCATAATAAATTGTGTTAAGACCTCCTCATTAGGAAAATATCTTAACTCTTCCATGTAAGAATATATTCTGTAGAGAAACAGGAAGCAAGAATTAACTCTTCTGAGAACGGAATAAAGGGAATAATAATTCATTTCTAAGTACCAATCACCTGGAATAGCAAGAAACAGGTAGAAAGAATCAAGGAAATATTGTGAATACCAGAAAAAGAAACCAAAAACCACCAAGATAAAAGATACAAAGAAGAAAAAGTCCAAGTGAAAGCAAAAAATAGGGCTGTAAGAATTTTTTTCAATTATAAAGTACTTTAAAGACAAAGTACTTAAGCGTAGATGAAGAACCTTCTATAATAATCATCTGAAACTGAATAATAAACTGAAATCGTCCCTTTAGTACTCTGTAAAGTATGCAATTTTAATTATGTGATTTTTCTAGCTAATTTCTGCTTGAAAAACAGTAAGTACTTCTGCTTACAAGGTGCAGAGAGAAGAACTTTCCTCAACCTCTCATAAGCACGTTGTCATCAAAATTTAAATTACTAGAAACATGCCTTTTAGTTCAATTACAATTAGTCCTTATATCTATTTACTGAGAACCCACTATGCACCAAATACTGTTGGCACATACTAAACAACAGTGTGCATTTGGAAAGCACTTTTTCCTTTCAGGTTTTCACAAGTGACATTCTCAAACAAACAAGTTTCTTGGTATTAACTGTACATGCTGAATACATCTATTATTATAAATTGCTTCTACTCAGGAGTATCATATTTTTTAAAGATTTAAAAATACACCCAGTTGCATTTGCCCATGGAACATATTTTGTATCAATTTTGTATGGAAGTCAGTCAACAATGATAAATACAAACAGACTGTCTTACAAAATAAGACAATAATTTTGGGAGAATATAAATGATACACTTGTCATAAAATGTCCACAAATAATTAATTACTTTAGCATGTTAAATATAATCTCTTTATATCACAGTCTCTTCTTAGAGGATCTCATTACTTTCTAACCATCTGTCATCACTCCTCCCCTCAAAACTAATTAAGATTTCACCCAATCACACTTTATAAATGATGCAAATATGAATGTAAAATCTCAGTGTAAAGAATAGCATTTTGGTAAAAATAACATTTGGTTAAAAATCATGAGATTTTTTTTCAAAACTAGTCTTAATTAACATGTTTATTTTCCTCATCTTGTCCTGATAAATTACTAGATTTTAGACTTGGAAAAATTAAAAACACACTCACAAAAAAATGAAACAAAACTTACAGGTAGTAGAGTTTTCCTGCAGCAGGGAGTACTCTTTTCCGATAATCTATCCCAGAATCAAGTGGGACTGTATTACAATATTCCTACAATCCAAACATATAAAATATGTTTTTTAAAAAATACAAGTTCAGAAGTATAAGCTTTTGCTATAGTATATGTATTTATTCAGATAAAATAGAATTCATACAAGATTCACAAAATTAAAGGTGAAGTAGTAAACATATATGAAGTAATACACTATCAAATACAGCTTTCAAAAGTTAAGATCTTAAAACATTGCCAAACAGTAGTGTCAGAAAATTTTTCCAAGTAACTGCATGTGAGTTTTTATTTTATTTTTAACATAGCCTAATTCCCATTACTCTGGAATAAGAGGTTGGGAACTACCAACAAGAATAATAACTCACAAGTCTTAAGCAACACAGTGAAAGAGAAGCAGCCTAAGAGAGTTAGGCCAGAACCATATAAAGTGATGGTATATGTAGAAGACTCCTAAACAGCTACCACTATCCTTGTCCTTTAGTTCTTGTCCCAGTCATCATGCTTTTATTGTCTTATCCTGCTGTGGATGCAGTCATTCTGTGTCACAAATATCCTTTTCTTCACCAATTTTTCCTTTTCATGCTCTAGGATGCATATATGCACACAAATACGCCACACACCCCAAAACTGTACTGCAAAAACAAACTTTGCTATGCCTACTTTGATCAGCTGGAGTAAATACACATACATACAGACTCATTCTAGTAGAACTGGTGACCAGGTATTTTTAAATAAGTCAAGAAATATTTACAGGATAACCTTTTAGTTTGCATTCAAAGTGAAAATTACTTTATGAAACTCATGAGGGAAAATTATATGTTAATAACTTTACTACTTATATTAATGAAAACCTGCATTTTTCAAATCATCAAAGCTAAGCCACTCATACCAGACAGTTTCCCAAAGATAGCTGCAATAATCTCTCCATCCCAGGTTCTTCTTATAATGTGACATTGATATTTCAACCCAAAAGAAGTGGGGTCTATGTGTTTCCCCTGGAGTTTTGTGACTCAAGACTGATAGAAATGATGCTATGCAATAATATCCTACATGACATTTGAAGCACCTTCTTATTTATTGGCTGGAATACTTCTTCTGAAACCCTAAGGGGCCAGGTAAGTATATAAATGCCTGCAGGCCACTATTCCAAGAAAAAAGCCTAAGCTTATATACCTAAACAAGAGCCTTGGAGAGGCCTGGAAAGCAGAAAAAGGTGTTGACCAGTAAGCTGTTCTAGGATAGCCACTACAGTACTAAGAAAACTAGAACTGTCAGCTGAGCCCTTCTCAAATTCCTGACCCATGGAAACAGGAGAAATATTAAAGGCATACTGTTTTAAGCCTGTAAATGTTGTGGCCATTTACTATGCAGCAGTAAATCATGTGAACAGTAACATCTGGCACACTTGAGAAATAGTGATGTTCTCAGTCCCTCAAATTGTCTTCTGGGTTGTACTGTGAGGACAGAGGGCTCCTTATTATCCGTACTCCAGGCAGAAGGCCACACTCAGTGGCAGTGAGAATCCATTTTCCCTTTTCCCATGCTGCAGCTGCTAAGGGCTCCAAAGAGTGAAAATGAAGAGGGTGACCAAGTAACTCCTGGGATTGAGGGGTTTCCCTGAAACAGACAGTTTTCTCAAAACACGGAACTTGCAGTGCTAATACAAGGACAGTCCTGGGCAATCTTGGATAGTAGTAACCCAAAGAACAAAGAGCAAAGAGCAAAAACTCAGAAAACTGGGTTGGAAGATTGGTGTAGGTATAGCATTATGATGTACACAACAGCAATCTACTTAAAATAAAATAGTCCCCAAGAAGATGGATCTGTAGAGATACTACAAGGCCTAGGAGTATAGCCCTGTGCTGAACTGCTTGCCTAGCATGTGCCAATACCACTGCAAAGCAAAATAAAACAAAATACCACCACCAACAATAAAACAACTTTTAGAGGATGTAGTAGGACAGACACATCTATAATCCCAATATTCAGGAAGCTAAGGCAGGAGTATCTCAAATTTGAGCATAGCCTGGGGTTCCCAGTGAGATCCTGTCTGAAAAAGAAAGAAAAATCCCTTATACTGTTTGGCCTAAACAGCCAGTTGCTGCCTTCATAGACACCTCTGTCTCAGCACTTGCAGGTGTTTACAATCACGCTAGGCCTCACTTTTAGGACCCAAGCTAATATCCCATTAAACCATCCTACCAGAAAGGAATGCAGAATCACCCAAATACTACTTGCTTCAGATTACCTATCTGTGTTTGTTTTTTGTTGTGTTTTTTTTTAAAAAGAGCATTCCCATATAACCTCCTTTTCAGCTTTGAGTAATATAGGAGACCTTAGAAAAGAGATATGCCTTCCTTCTTGTCCTCTCCTGTAATAGTGAAGACTCAGTCACCAATTCAAAAGAAAAGAAAATACACGTGTTTACGGAGCACGTCTCACTCCATATCTCTTACCACACTCCTGTGTGGTAAGCAGGGGCTAATTATTCATATGCTATCTACTGCAGACAATACAACACCACACAGCATTCATAGAAATGTATCTGCCTAGGTTCTCTATTTCTTTTAAATTACAATTTATCTTATATGACCCAATATTCCTAATTTAGTCATAATTTCTTCTCATTTTTTGCTGTTAAAAATAAGGCTAATGGAAGTTATACAAGCTTCAATTTCTCTTTCTGGGTAACTAACTTCTCAAACATGAAAGTGATTAAGCCCTACCAAATGATTGCATTTGTACACTCACTAATCACCACTGTGGAATACCTAATCAGCAGCAAAAGAACTATAACCAAAACCCTTAGATGTGAGTTCTTAATTGTCAGAAAAATACTAACACCCAATTTATATTTTTAAAGAAAAATAAACCTGATTTTTTTCTATTCACTCACTCTAGAGTCTTCAGAGTACTTTGGGAAAGGGTGGAACAGAATGAAAGCTATGCTGTTTCTAAGTTGACAATCTAAAAGGCACAGTTCTAAGCAGTTTCCTAATTTTCAGATATATTTACAAGACCTGTGACCTCTTATCAGCACCCAATTCTAATGCATAACACGATTATATTAATCAGCCAGCCGATGAAATATAGTTTATATATTTATTTATTGAAAATAGTTTATATATTTTTATACAAAGGGCAAATACAATTATATAAACTAAAATTGCAATTAGGATATTTAGGGGGGAAAATGAGAAAGGCTCACATACTCATGAATCACAAGCCTTTGACTTTGGAAAGAAAAATGTATGACTGAAAGAACAATTTAAAATGTTGTTAAATCCATTGTATGTATTTTTAGCAGTCCTGAATAATAGCATTAGGAAACATAACCACCTCACAAATGACTTTGTATAGCTTTTACCCCATTCCCAGTTTGAACAAAAGATGTAGTGGAGAAGATCCTTTAAAATCACAGCATATTAACCTCTGAACCAAAGACTTAATAAGAGGAATATTTCCCTAACAAATCTATTTTATTTTAAAATAATATTGCTAAGCTGAGTGCAGTGGCTCAAGCCTGTAATCCTAGCTATTCAGGAGGCTGAGATCTGAGGATCAAAGTTCAAAGCCAGCCTTGCCAGGCAAGTCCATGAGATTCTTTTTTGTTGTTGATGGAGGTCGTGGGACTTGAACCCTGGGCCTGGGCACTGTCCCTGAGCTCTTCAACTCAAGGTGGGTGCTCTAACACTTGAGCCACAGTGCCATTTGTTCCATGAGATTCTTATCTCCAATTAACAACCAAAAAACCAGAAGTGTGGCTCAAGTAGTAGAGCACTAGCCTTGAGCACAAAAGCTCAGGAACAGCACCAGACCCTGAGTTCAAGCCTCAGGACAGGCACACACACACACACACACACACACACACACACACACACACAAATTCTTTTGAGAGAAAATAATACAGGAACATGATGCTATTCAGCTCAATCAAGACATAGAAATCATAGGCTGAGCGCCAACCCAGGCAATGTTAACAAAATGCCTCCAAACCAAATAAGATACTGTATCCCCTCATACTACCTTTTGAAGTTTAGAAAATTCAAAATCAGGGGCTGGGAATGTGGCTTAGTGGTAGAGTGCTTGCCTAGCATGGATGAAACCCTGGGTTCGATTCCTCAGTACCATCTATATAGAAAAAGCTGGAAATGATGCTGTGGCTCAAGTGGTAGAGCACAAGCCTTGAGCACCAAAAAGCCAGAACTATGGCTCAAGTAGTAGAGCACTAACCTTGAGCAAAAGGAGTTCAAGGACAATGCCCAGGCCCTGAGTTCAAGTGGAAAGGGAAGGGAACGGAAAGGAAAGGAAGGGAAAAGGGAAAAGGAAAAGAAAGGAAGGGAAAATTTGAAAACAAAAAAAGGCCAGGCACCGGTAGTTCACACTTGTAATCCTAGCTACTCAGGCAGCTGAGTGAGATCTAGGATCGTAGTTCAAAGCCAGCCTGGGCAGGAAAGTCCAGGAGACTCTTAGCTCTAATTAACCACCAGAAAACCAGAAGTGGTGCTGTGGCTCAAGTAGTAGATCGCTCGCCTTGAGCTGAAAAGCTGAAGGTCAGCACCCAGGCTCAGAGTTCAAGCCCCACAACTGACTAAAAAAGGGGCGGGGGGGGCATAGCTCAAGAGATATAATGCTTTCCTAGCATGTTTAAGGCCTGGGTTCAATCTCCAGCAACACACACACAGACACACACACACAAACACACACACACACACATAAATACACACACAAACAGAACATCATTCAGCACCTTTGCAGCTCTTCAAATACCACATTCTCCCTTCCCAAAGGTAGTAAGTTCTTGACCTTACACCATAAAATTTTGCTTGGTTTGGTTGTTTTATATAAATGAATCATACAGTATTCATTCTTTTATGTTGTTCTTTTATGCTGTTCACCGATTGCTCTATTAGATTCTCTGTGTGAATACTCTATAATGTACTGATTCATTCCACCACTGATGGATATATGGGGCTGCTCTTACAAATAAGTCAGGCACAACATTCTTGCACAGGTTTTGGTGTACATATGCACATGCTCT